GCAATAACACTTATAATCCTTCGATGAAATTTCTTCTTATGCTCAGTAAACTATTATTATATTTGCTTTCTTAATTTTTAAAATTTAAAAAGTTTATTTTTATCTTTTATACAAAATAATTTCTTAATCATTTTTTTTAATTTTGACTTTTCTTTGAAAGAACAAACAAATATAAGTTTATCCAAAATATTTAATACAACAATAAATAAAAATAAATCTAAGCTTTTTGATGCTTTATTTTGAATATTTAATTATATAATAATATTGCTTCACTTTTCTGTTATTTATATAGTTTAAATTTCAAGAGCATAAAAAATCAAAGAAAATGTCATTAAATCTAGTAGTATAAAATATTTGATGAATTTTCAGTTGACTATAATAAACTGTCCTAAACATTTACTTATGTTGGATTTTTAATTATTTTCAATTTTTTCATGTTTGTTTTGACAATTTTTTGTTCAACATCTTAATACTTACTGCTATAATATGTTTCCCACCACACACACAAACACACACACACAAAGCAGCGGCAATAACACTAATAATCCCTCGATGAAATTTTCATTTTGCCTATCTTCTTATGCTCAGTAAACTATTATTATATTTGTTTTCTTAATTTTTAAATTTTAAAAAGTTTATTTTTATCTTTTATACAAAATAATTTCTCAATCATTTTTTTTTAATTTTGACTTTTCATTGAAAGAACGAACAAATATAAGTTTATCCAAAATATTTAATACAACAATAAATAAAAATAAATCTAAGCTTTTTGATGCTTTATTTTGAATATTTAATTATATAATAATATTGCTTCACTTTTCTGTTATTTATATAATTTAAATTTCAAGAGCATAAAAAATCAAAGAAAATGTCATTAAATCTAGTAGTATAAAATATTTGATGAATTTTCAGTTGACTATAATAAACTGTCCTAAACATTTACTTATGTTGGATTTTTAATTATTTTCAATTTTTTCATGTTTGTTTTGACAATTTTTTGTTCAACATCTTAATACTTACCGCTATAATATGTTTCCCACCATTACCTGCAGTTAATTGATCTATTTTATATCGTGTAATTTTTGTAGGAATGGAGTCTGAGAGTGATAACAATGATAATGTATTCGTTCCTCACGTGACCATCAGTGCCATCCCTCACATTGGACAGGAATTTGAATCATCTGATGAGGCGTACAATTTTTACAATCAATATGCACAGGAAGCGGGGTTTAGTGCGCGAATACAAAATTGTAAAAAGAAAAAGGAGACCAATGAGTATTTCTAGAAACTATTTGTGTGTTACAAAGAGGGCAGCACGAACGAGTCCTACCATATGAGCCATAAAGATGCTGTATCATGGGCTGGGGAAAGAAACCGTGGACATGTGCAATGTGGGTGCAATGCTAGACTATCAGTGGTGAAGCAACAAACAGGGTAGAGATGGATTGTCAGGAAATTTGTAGAGCAACATAATCATCCCCTTACCACTCCTAGTAGGGTACACTTGTTAAGATCACACCGGGGTGTCTCGAAAACAAAGAAGGCTCTTGTCCAACAATTTTTCGAAGCCAATATTCCCACTTGTCAACAAGTTCGACTTATGGAGATAGACACGGGAGGTCCAGCTTCTCTTGGGTGTGTGGAGAAGGATATTAGGAACTATGAAAGAGATATGCGACAGGAGTTGCTGGGCCATGATGCTGAAAATCTGATTGAGTATTTTGCCTTCGAGAAAGAGAAGAACCCGAACTTTGTCTTTGATTATGACACTGATGATGATAATAAACTTGTGCGATGTTTTTGGGCTGACTGTGAGTCAAGAAGGTCATATGCCTACTTTGGCGATGTCTTGGTGTTTGACACAACTTACAACACGAATAGGTACTCAATGGTGTTTGGTCCATTTGTCGGAGTTAACCACCATGGCCAGACCATTATATTTGGGTGTGGTTTATTGAGCAATAAGACGGCGGAATCATTTGTTTGGTTATTTACTAAGTTCATTGAAGCCATGCCAAACCACACAGGCCCAGGGGTGATAATCACAGACCAGGATGTCGCAATTGCAAGAGCTATCTCAGTGGTATTGCCATCTACGTTGCATCGTTTTTGTCTGTGGCACATTTTGAACAAATTTTCTGAAAAGATGAATGTCGTATTGTATAATGACCAGTATCACAAGCTAGTTGGCATCATTAAACAATCTGAGTCACCGACGGAGTTTGAACAACGATGGACCGAGGTGATGGAAGCCACAGAGTTAGGTAACAATGAATGGTTGATCAGTATGTATGAGATACGTAGTCGATGGGTACCCGCATACGTCAAACACGTGTTTGCTGCAGGCATGGTCAGTAGCCAGAGGTCAGAGAGTGGTCACTCATTTTTGAAGAAATATGTCGACAAAAAAAACTCTTTAATGGATTTCGTTTCCGGTTTGACAGGGCTTTAGTTCATCAGAGGCACACGGAGTTAGCTGCTAACCATATCGACATAAGTCAAAAACCAAGGGTAAAATCAACCTTCATGATGAAGAACCAAATGGTGCAAGTATACAAAAAAAAATATTTTTGTTGTTTCAAAAGGAAATAGAACAGAGTAATTTCTACATGTGCTCAAAGAGATCAAGTTCCGATGAAGCTAAAGTATATGCAATTCAGCGTCTTGAGCCAAACAGAACATTTGATCGACATCGTCAGGTTACTTATTTTCCATCCACTGATTATGTCTCATGTAGTTGTCAAATGTTCGAGTTTGAGGGTTATCCATGCCAACACATGATTTGCTACATGAAAAAAAAACAAGTGATGTTCTTGCCGGAGAAATATATTCTTCGTAGGTGGACAAAAAATGCTAAGCAAGCTAAAGTGTTCGATCAAACTACTGGTTCATATGTTGATGATGGTCCTGGTCAATCGTTAATGTCTCGACATAGGATATTGTCTGATACAGCTTCATATCTAGTTGACGATGCTGTTTTGACAAAAGTTCGGAGCACTGTTCTGTTGAATGAGTTCCAAAATTTGCACATATGGCTCAAAGAGATTGACAATAGTGGGGATGTCAGCATGAGCAGAAATAGATGCCAAAGTCGAGAAGAGACTCAAGCTATTTGTGATACTAATTCTGCTAGAGCAAAAGGAAGTGGAAAGCGACTAAAAGATGGAAAGGAGAAAGCACTTTCCTAATCCAATAATAGACAATGTGGTGCATGTCACATGAGTGGTCACGACAGAAGAACTTGTCCTATGGTGCAAAATAGGTTAGTCAATGTTAATTGTTTCTTTACTCCTTGCTTTCATTAATGTTTGGTCCATTTGTTTCATGCCGGATAATAAGTTTATTTATCAGATTGGACAATACATATCAACCACAATACTCACAGGATGCGCAAGTCCCCCCATACTCATACCATGCATCGGACTCACACTACTCATATCATGCATCGGACTCACAGTACTCATACCATGCGCCAGAGGACAGCTACACGATTACAGGCAGTAGCAACTTTGAAGAGGCCCGGGGTTTTTCTCTCAACCAATATCAGTTCCTGTAGATGTAGCATACTTTGTGTTTTGTACGATTTAACATGTTCGTTTATCAGTTTGTTTAACTGTAATGTCCTTGTATTATCGTAACTTACTATGCTTGAACGTAGTTCCAAAATTCATTGGCTATTCCATAGACATTATATTTTTTATACGCGTTTGATATACGTTTAAATATTTTTTATATTCATTTAGATCATTCAATGTGTCTATGATATAGTACTTGAAATGAGTTTCGATTAAATATAGAAGATATATTTTTTGAAGATATATTTTTTATAGATATTGCGTAAAAGAATGGAGAAAAATAGGGTGATAATAATTTTATTAGGAATTTTTACGTCAAAAAAGAAAAAAGGAAAAAAAAGGAAAATGTTTACGTCAAAAAAAAATGAAATAACAGCGAGTAGGTGGTGGGAATTGTTGAAAATGTAATTGGCAAAACTGCATGCAAAAGTGGGTGGTGGGAATAGGTATAAAATTAAATAAATAAAATTGCATGTAAAATGTCAGGTTGTCAAACTGTGTAGGAAAAAAATAAATAAAAATTTTAAATCGTGATTCCTGAATCGGGGAAGAGAGTAAGCCTGTTCCTCTCATTATGAGCCTGTTTGAAAGTGATTTTGAGAATTGATTTTTTGACCGTTAGGAGAAATGTGAGGTCCATCTGTGAGAGAAGAAGTCAAATATGACGGCTGAAATAGTGAAATAACGATTAAAAAATCAATTTTTTGGATGAAAAAATCGGACCCAAACAGGCCCTATATCTCCCAAAATTCTAACTCATTGACCCATTTGGCATTTAAAAATTGACAAATGCAGACAGATGATACATGGTGTCTATATATGTAAATTAACTTTTAATTAAAAGGATAGAAAGAAAGAAAGAAAGTGATGCCTGCCTTCAAGCCTGGGCTACCTAATTTCACTTTTCCCAACTACAATTAATTACCATTTTTTTTTTATTGTATTTTCAATCGGACTCTAAACCATTTTATTAACCAAAATGGAAACCAAAGAAAATTAGGGTGTCTTTGGTTTCCATTTTTATTTTCTATTTTCATTTTCAAAACGATTTTTTTTTTCTCAAAAACGGTCCGTTTTTCACGTTTTGAACGTTTTCAACATTTATAACTGAAAACGATAAAAAGTTGTTTTACGTTTTCAATTATAAATTTTAACTTGTTTTTGAAAATGCGTTTTCGAAAACGACAAATCAAACGTGTTTTCCGCATTTTCTCAAACGAAAGACGAAAAATGGGTCGAAAACGGCAAACCAACCACGGCCTTATTTTCTTTGATTTCAATTAATTAATGATTATTGACCCAATACTATAATATTTTCTTCCCCATTTTTAACATTTTTAAAATCAGAATTCGGGCAATCTGAGGAAATTCTGGAACCTTAAATTAACTTTGACACCCTGGAAAAAAAATAAAAATAAAAATTATCTCTCTTCTCAATCTCACTGTTTTCTCCAAAAAATCTCATCTTTTTTCAAAAAATTTCACATTCATCAAAAACACATTCCTCTGGACTTCATCAACATTTTCGGCTTTTCCAAGGCTTGAACCGACTTGTAAGCGTTAAAGTTGAGATCTTTTTTGGATTCTTCATCTGCGTTTTGGGTTTTAAGTTATTTTCTGCTTTTTATTGTTTTCTGCGTGAGTCTTTTGGTTTCAAAAAATCTTGAAAATTTTTGTAGGCTTTGTTCTCAACAGATAGATTGGAAGTGTTTTAGTTCTTGAAAGGTAGGGAAGTTACTATGAGTAGCAGTGGAGTAACAATGGAGGGATCACATGCTCGCTCAGACTACCATGTGGCTCCAAGGACCATAGAGAATCCAAGCCAGGTGAGTGGATCGGTACCACCACCACCTGTGACTGTGACGCCGTCGCAAGTGGGTTTCACTCCGCCTCCGGCCGAGGCTGCCGGGGTGGATGGCGCTACCACTTGGAAGAAGAAGAGGGGCAGGCCTAGGAAATATGCCCTTGATGGCTCTGTCACCAAAGTCATGTCCCCTAAACCGATTTCTTCCTCTGCTCCGCCACCTGTGGTTAGCTTCTATGCCGCAGAGAAACGTGGAAAAACCATTGCCCTGGGTTCGTCTAAGAAGACACAGAACTCTAGAATAGAGTTGGAAAGTTTAGGTAATGGTTGATAATTGATCACATTACCATATGTCTGTTCAAGTACTGTATGCACAATATTTATTTATTAATTTATTTTATTTATTATTATTATTATTATTTATTTATTTATTTATTTTTGAAGCTTTTTATGTGGTGATCAGTGTTTGTATGGAATTGGTGCTTGGCTTCTTAGAATTAAATGCATGTTTGATAGAGAGGATAGGAAAGTACCAGTCAGTATTAAAGTATTAAAAAAATTATCTAAAATCTTGTTTATTACATTGTCAAGTTTTGTGTTGTTTAAAGGAATTATAGCAAATGATGTTTGAGTTTAGCAGTGGGACCTGTAGAGTAGATTCTCAGCTATGTTCTTACAGTGAATGATGTGTTATTTTTGTTAACTCGGTATCAAGGGAATCTTAACTGTTTTGTGGAACATTCCTTTTGTAAAGAGGGGTTCTCGTTTTTGTGATTATTATTTCTCTTGAATTTGGGTTTTAATTCATAAAACGAGGTTACATTTTGTTCCACAGTTTTCTTGGCTGCAGATCCCTATTTCTAATTATTCTTGAAATTTTTGCAATGCCAAATCCTATGAAAGTAATTTGAAATTTTTTGAAGTTGTCTTTGAACTTTATTGCGTCCCACTTCGGCATTAGCTGATGATTATTCGTAGTTCTGTTGTTTAAGCTGGTATAAATTATATGATTGCTTGCTGTAAAGCTTCACTCTGTAAATTGTCTAATCTTCAATGCTATTTTGTCTTAGGTGAATGGGTTTCGTGTTCTGTTGGTACTAATTTTACACCTCATATTATCACTGCTAATGCTGGAGAGGTGACTTTTACTGACTTCCTCATTGATTTTGCTAAGTAGAATGACAAATATTTATAATACCCCTCTTGTCATTTTCACTTCATTTTTCATTCTTATCAAATTTCAATGTTGCTCCTTTTCAAATATCTCAAAGCTTTTGTTACAAATTACACTATAGTGGATACTCAATCAGAATCATTTCTGATTTCAGGCATATTTATTCTTAAAAGGATAAGTAGCCTCTTTTTCTGTAAGATTTAATATATATTTTACTCATCTCTTAGCCACTTTAATTTCTGAGGCACAGGAAACCCTTTGTGGCATTGTCTCAAGTTATATTTATCTCTTGTCATTTTAGTTATTTTGAAAATGTTATTCGAGTACCAATTATATTACTAGTCTATTTTCGGAGATGAGTTACATAATATATTATTCTCTAGCTAGGATAGTAGCTTGTAGTTAAAATTTACGGCATTAATAATTCTTATTTCGGTTGTTCAGGATGTTACTATGAAGATTATATCTTTCTCTCAGCAAGGGCCTTGGGCAATATGTGTTCTCTCTGCTAATGGTGTGATTTCAAGTGTAACTCTTCGTCAACCTGATTCTTCTGGTGGTACATTGACATATGAGGTGCTGCAATCAATCATTTCTTTATTTTAATTTGGTGTGACATCTTCTTTTAGTTCGCCCACCATGTGAATTCTGGATTTAAATCTGAGAGGAATTATTCTTCAATCTATATAAAAAAAACCTCCTTAATATAGATTTTATTTTGTTTCTACTTTGCATCTTTGTTAACTAATAAATTGATGAATAAACAATTCATTCATTCATTTGATTTTTTTTCCTTTTATGATTTCAATTCTGAAAACAGTTATTCTTTATTAATATATTAAAAACCTCCTTAATGTTGAACCACTAGATATAAAAGCTTAAATTGTTAGATATGACCCTATTTATATCATTTAAATACTATCTTCGACATGCCCATGCGCATGTAGGAAGTATTTATTTTTTCTCATCAAAGCCTAACACATGGTATTTCATTTAAACGGGTGATAGCGAGTCTTGAACTCAGTATATTTGATCTAAAAGCTTGAACAGTTAGATTGGGTCACATTTGTATCATTTAAATACTATATTCAACACTTAATTTGACTTAACTTTAATGCACTTCTACTTTTACCTTCTCTAAGTGGAGGACCATTGCAATGTGCCACCTCACCTATTGTGATTTATTTTCTGACCGAACAATTTGTTTTCTCTTTGTTAACAATAAGAAAAGTGAATCTTTTTGTACATCTAAATTTCTTTCTTTGAGGAAAGTTACTTCTTTTTCAGTCTATTCCTTTTTGTCTGTCTACAATAAATAAGTTGGTTAACGACACACGTCACCTTCCCTTGGCTATTCTAAATGAGTAGGATGGTATTCAAATACATGCACCTATCCTTGGTGGATGTAATTGTAACTCAATATTCTAGACTATGCTGTAGGAACCAGTTTCATTCTATGCCTTAATTAAAAGTCCAATACCTAACCTACTATTTATTTTGAGAAAGTGATTATTAGGAGAGACTGTATCTATATCTGAGCATATATTTTGAGGCGTCTTGCATGTAAAGTACTTAAATTTAGTGAGTTTTTCAAGGACATTTCATTGATTATTTGATTGAGAAGACGAAAGCTGAGTTTTTAAACACTGTTTCTGTGGGAAAACGAGTACTCTAAATCTTTTGGCTTCTGTGAAGTTTTAATATGACACAAGGTTTGGGTTCCAATTGGTGCTATTAGCTACAGTATTCCTTTTAGAGCCTGTTTGGGCCACATTAATTGAACAAAAAAATGAAAAAGTTGACCGTTAGACTCCATGTGCAGCCCACCTTTTTTGACCTTGTGTTTCTGATGTGGACCCCAGAATTGACCATAACGATCATATTTTTCCTACTAATTTCCTTCAAAAGATGGCTCAAACAGGGGCTTAATTATTGAAAAACTAAAAACAGAAAACAGAAATTGGTAGGAAGAAATTTGCATGTACACTGTTTCAGATGATGTAAATGAAATGCAGTTTCAGCCAATGGAAGTATGTGAAAAGTCTGTGGTCAATAAAGTTTCATCTTCTGGAAAGCTTCCCTAACTAGAATACGCCATGGATGCTGGGTTTGTCTCACACTCTCACTAAACAATGATAGTCACTCGAATTAATTATTGCGGCTTGGCCAGTTCTGATATTTCATATATGCTAGTCATTCTCTGTATGTCATTTTTATTTTTGGGTCACTGGCCTTGTTTATGATGTCTTATTGCTTTTGTTGTTTAGGGTCGTTTTGATATACTGTCATTGACTGGATTGTTTATGCCGTCCGACTCGGGGGGAATGAGGAATAGATCTGGCGGAATGAGTGTTTCATTAGCAAGCCCAGATGGTCGTGTTGTGGGCGGTGGAGTTGCTGGTTTATTAGTTGCCACCGGTCCTGTGCAGGTACTGCACCTCTATTTGTCTGCAGATTGATCAATGTTTCTATTATATAAAGGATATTGTTCCATGAACTTAAGAGACATGAGATATTCATTGCAGCGGTAACTCATATATATCGCGCTAATCTCGTGTTTTTTGTGAACTAGATTGTGGTGGGCAGTTTTCTGGCAGGGAACCAGCATGATCAGAAGACCAAGAAACACAAAGCATGGTCCAAGACTGTTTCACCTACTGCTGCTGCTCCTATCTCCACTACAGGAGTAGACGATCCATATCGCACTTCCCCTTCTTTCCATGCAGATAACTTGTCAATTCATCCCGACACGAAGAATAAGTCTGCTGACGTCCATGTAGCTGTCACTGGCGAGTAACCTAATAGATAGCATTGATTGCACAAAAACAGTTTTTGCTGACTTCGTTTTGCATCAGATATCTATTAATAACCCTTTTTAATGATCTTAGACTTCTTAGTACATTTCTTGTCTGTAAATGGCTTACAGGGTGCTTATTACGGGCCCGGTTTGTGTAGTAACGTAGCTAGATCAGCTTTTTCCAGCTGCTGTTTTGTTGTAGAATTTTTGGATACATATAATTTATGCCTTGAGTTGATTTACGTCTAGGTTTATGATTCCTGTTCTTCATAGCTTCTCAGGTGTTTGCTCCCCAAGTTCACTTCCGAAAAATCAGGTCATCAATCACAAAAATCCCGTCACTGATAGAAAAAGCATCCACTGCTTGTCTGGCTGTGAATTGTTATAGTAACCGGACCAACTGTATTATTGTGATGTTGCACATGGTATTAAACATTGCATCACTATATTAAGACTTAAGAGACTTTAGAGCTTCAATAGATAATGACCCAAGCCTTTAATTGATATCAAGATTCAATTTAAGTCTCTTTTTAAAGAAATATCATGTGTTCGAATATTGAAAAACGCAATAGAAAGTTGTAAGGGATAAGGGGACAGATGCACTCCCAAAGTAGAATGACCGGGGCACAAGGCTTGGGTTGTAATCTTGTACCCTTATGCATAAAGATAATCAATTTGGTCATTCTAGTTTGACTTTATTATGGATTTCTCACCACAATCTCCATGGAGCCCTCTTATCTCCTCCATCACTAGAGAATATTCTCATATTCTTTTGTATATAATTTTTTTTTTTAATAAAATCTCTTAATTTTTTTTTTATCTTCTTGTAAACCTTTAATTTTTTGGTTGTTCTAACCAAAGGGAAGGATGTCCTTGGGTTGTGCCAAGTCTGAATAGAGGAACTGTGGAGGTTCCTCGGACCATTCGGATCCCACGAGTGAATCGTAACTTGAATATACATTGGATTTCACCCAAATTGTGGATGAAACAGAAGATAATGTCAATAAATAAGAGACTACGTATTGTTCATTAATATCTTGAAAATATCGCGCCATAGTTCAAAGAGTCAAACTAACTCTCATACGAGGTTAGCATGGTTAATGATATCATCCCAAGTATTAATTACACCGCTTTGACCATCAATTACAAATTGGTTAAAATTGAAGCCATTTATATTGGAAAGATTCCTTTACCAACTCAGTTCACTCCATTTGTTTTATGTCTCTTTCCCCTGGAGGTGTTCCTCCACTAGTGGGTTTCTTTGAAAAGTCTATTTATTTTTGTGTAGATGGAAAACAGGCCTATATTCCTTAATTTTAATAGCATGATAGGAAATCTGATTTGATTAATATTTATGGAAAGAGGCGGAAGTTGCTTTCTATACGATGGATTCGTGAAAATCATGGAGTGCTCAGGTATCATTATTTCGATGAAACATTTCTTCGCATAGAAAAAGACTATGTGAACACTTATTAGAAATCTCACTTATCAAATTCCAATGTGGAAGACAATTTTTTCTGAGGAATTCACCACAATATTATGAGCTTTTACTCATGAATCTATATTTTTTATTAGAGATTAAAATCTGAAGATTGAAGCAAAATGGAGATAATGTATTGGCAAGAATACAAATAACCTCAGGGTTTTTTAAGATTTGGTATCTGAAATAACTAGTAAATTACAACTCTATTCTACCGCAATTAGTGCATTGGTATGCATTGTTTGTGAAGAATGTGTTCGTGTATATTCTATAGATTTACACACTGTTGATTGGAAATTGGAAACGAACAAGAAATGGAAGGACGAAAGTCCTATACATTCACAAAGATTCCGTGGATAGACGTTTCATGGTAGTTTCATCTATCACTTTATTGTGAAGTCTTCGCACGCCTATGTTACCTTTTGAGCAAGATTAGAATTTTAGTTTCTCTTACGTATTGTCTATTTTAGGAGGTCATCTACCCTCTTACCCTTCATGGTTTTCTATTGCGGTCCTCAAAATTTGAACTCATGACATTTTCCTTAAGGGTGATTTAAGTAATCCTAGTACCAGCATTTTTTTTGTAATGAGCAAGCCTCGTGCCCGACCGTTCTTTTACGTATTGTCCGCTTTAAAAGGGCATCTCCCCTCTTACCTATCACGACTTATTGTCCCAAATACTATTACTGTCCAAAGTGACGTTTTGTGTTTTCTTTTTAGACTCGAACATTGTTATTGTTCAATGTGAGGTCTGAGCACTCGAAGTCTCACCACTCTTAATCTTTTTTAGTTAGAACATAGGATGTAGAGACTAACTGGCTACTTGCTGACTTTTCTTGCGAAGAAGATGCATTTACAACACATTCTAGACATAAAAAGAAATGTCTTGAACCCAAGTTCATCAACTTCTCATATGGCGAAATCCAAATTAATTTCATAATAATCAGTTCACGGAAATAATATCAAACAATCAAAAATATTATATGTTAATATTTCAAAATAAATAATTATAAAAAGAATATAGTACACACTCTTATAGAAATAATGTCAAAGAATCAAGAATATGTTACCATTTCTGAGCAATATTATGGAATTCCCGATCCTTTGATTTCCCACATATGGACGGAATCGCGAATGAGTTAAGTAGTGAATAGAGTGTTTAACTCACGAGAACTATGTATTTGATCGAGTTAAAATTAATTACAACTTTAATCGAATATCATACAAATTGTTGTACTTTTCTAACTAATCTCTAAATTATTAATTAAAGTAGTGAAAACAAGTGAATGTGATTTTCAAATATGTGAGGTGCATTGTTAAAATGTCGAATCCCCATTTTTAGTGTAAGAATTAAATTGACAATTTGATATTATTCATGTTGGTTAAAATTATTAATTTAATTGAAAGCCTCTCTCAAAAGCGGTTAAATCTATTCTCCTCATATAACTTTTCTATCTCTCGATGAAATATACAAATATGATAAATACATTAACAAGTGTTAAAATACATATTGAAACCATATAAAGTATAGAAATATATCTCTATCATTTATCAAACCTTACAATATTTATTATATTGTGCTAATGATCACATTATCTCTCTCGATAATAACAAAATCCATAAACAATTCAACTAGTGGCTAATTAATTGAAAAGCATGAAAAATGATAATAAACATGCAAAAATTTAAAAGCAAATTAAATTCAAACTAATTTACTAAAACAAAAAAATATCATAACAATAATAACTAGCCTAACAAGACAAAATTACACGAAATTATATTTTTATGTGGAAAGATATAACTCAATTTTTTGATAAATTGGGAAGATGAAGGTGAATCTCGAGATCTTGAATCCCTTCAATGTTTTCTTGATGAATCTCTATTTGTGCTTCCTCTTATTTGTCCAAAAACTAAGTTTGAATTTCAACTTGATTGAATTTAACTCTCTCACAAAAACTATAAATTTTGTCTCCTTTGATGATAATAACTGATGAATATTAGAGAATAATGTGTATATTAGAGATGTAGGAGAGGTTTTTTAATGTATTTTGCTATTAGGTATTTGTAGTAATCGAAAATTGGTTGAAAATCACATTCAAATTGGTATTCATAAGAGTTCCAATTGAATAAGGAAAGTTATCTTTTTGCACGCATGTTTTTGTATTTGCGCAGCAATCAGCATTTTAATCATAACTTTTTCTCCCAATATCAGATTGAGACGAATCAAAGTGCATTGAAAAGTTAACTCAAATGACTACAATTTTGATCTTTTTTTTATTTATTATTTATCGTGAATGATGGAATCATTACAAATAGTATGCCTCTGGCCCACCGTACCCCTTTCATTTTGGGTTGACGGAGGGATCATACCATTCAAGCCTTTTTTCATGCTTTTCTCGGGACGTTTCAAATAAAAGAAAATGTCGTTTAATTTTTCAATTTATTTGTGCTTCCTCTTATTTGTCCAAAAACTAAGTTTGAATTTCAACTTGATTGAATTTAACTCTCTCACAAAAACTATAAATTTTGTCTCCTTTGATGATAATAACTGATGAATATTAGAGAATAATGTGTATATTAGAGATGTAGGAGAGGTTTTTTAATGTATTTTGCTATTAGGTATTTGTAGTAATCGAAAATTGGTTGAAAATCACATTCAAATTGGTATTCATAAGAGTTCCAATTGAATAAGGAAAGTTATCTTTTTGCACGCATGTTTTTGTATTTGCGCAGCAATCAGCATTTTAATCATAACTTTTTCTCCCATTATCAGATTGAGACGAATCAAAGTGCATTGAAAAGTTAACTCAAATGACTACAATTTTGATCTTTTTTTTATTTATTATTTATCGTGAATGATGGAATCATTACAAATAGGATGCCTCTGGCCCACCGTACCCCTTTCATTTTGGGTTGATGGAGGGATCATACCATTCAAGCCTTTTTTCATGCTTTTCTCGGGACGTTTCAAATAAAAGAAAATGTCGTTTAATTTTTCAATTCGAACGTTTACTATGCCAAAAATTGATTTCAATCTTTGACTAAAAATCTGAAAGATGTCTTTGTGTGATTAGAAATTGATTTATGTAATATTCTGGTCATATTTCTTTCCTTTTTGACTTCTAATTGTATCTAATTAATTCCTAGATCTTCGAAGTATCTCTTATAGTCAAATCAACCATTGGATATTTGCAATTTGGTTCTCAAGTTTTGTACTTCACCATTTTTCATTGTTTTCGCTTATTTCTTTCAATTCTAATTCCACAACTTAATATTGCTGCTCAAACTCACGACAATAATAAAACTTTTATGCAAGATTTCATGATATTTCATATCCTTTTTGGTAAGTTATGGAGCCAAATTATTATCAATTTGTGGAACCAATACATGGATTGGCCTCGTGTAATTTTATTAAGTGAAAATTACCCAAAACCATATTTTAAAATTTCTCTCTATATTTCTTTCTCCGTAACCCTTTTTCTCTCTGTATTCATTCATCACGCGTAACTAAGTAAAAATAAATAAATTCTCTATGTATTTCTCTTTGTCTTTCACACTCTAACCATTTCTATCTCTCATATCTGAATCGATGGGGGTGAGATGCGCATGCAATTACAGACTATTTCAAACCTAAATCGGAGATGGTGTTTAACGGTGGTTATGGTTGCAAATTTTAGATGAAGGATGTGGTGGTAATTTGGATGGTACTGATGATGATGGAGTGGGTAGGGTAATATTGGTAAGATAAAGAGATTGTATTCA